AACGCATTTAACGCCAACCGCTTTGCACTCTTTTCTTCAGTCTTATCGAACGAGATCGCGTGTCGAGATAGCCGTGAGCGAAATTAATTTCATCAGACAAGCGATCGCCGTTCCGACTCGATCGCGTCATGTTTCTCGCGAATAAGAATTTATCTCGCGCACTTGCGGAACAGCGGCGGCCTTGTTTGCAAGCGCGTTGAAAGCGCCTGCAAACCGTCAGTGCCATTTCGGGGATTAATGCTCCGACGGCACGTTCGCTCGAACGTCGCCGGCTCCCGCCGAACGCATTTGCATACAACGGGAAGTGCACCGCGGTTGTACCTGTCGTCGTCGTCGTCGTCGTCGTCGTCGTCCGTATCGCACCTGTAGACTATGAATAACGCTACAGCTGCACGACGCATTTACAATGACATCAATTAATTCGTCAGCGTGAATTCACTTTTGTCGCTGATATCTCTCTATCGGTAAGTAATCGCGCATATCCCTTCTCTCGTGCACAAATGGCATTGCTCGCCCGTATCTGCGATGTGTAACACCGCGATGATACAAGATGCGCAAGGTGATGATTGCGCGCCGCCGTTTTTAAGGCAATTGATCGCGGCGAGGCATGTAATCGCTTCTCTGAGGAAAAATGGCGCCTCGCGTTTAACAAATCGCTGCCGAGTAAACTCGAAACGGGAACGAAAACGTTATGGCAGGGGGAAAGAGCTAACTGAGGGACGTGATACATGCGCGGGTATTAAAATGTCTATAAATGTCTATAATTAGTTTTGCAAAAATAGGGAAAGTAACTGGTTGCCACATTTATTAGTTAAAACTATGATTTTCTTATGTACATTGATTAAAACTGAGGCAATTTGAAAGGACGTCACCAGTCCTCAAGTCCTTAAGGGATTCTGAATTTTCTGAAGAGAAATTATTCTTATTTATATAACAGCATTCACACAGCGCATAAAATTTGCCTTCCAAGTCAGCTAAATAAATAAATATAATTAACTGATAAACTGAAAAAGAAAGAGAGAAAAAATGAAGTATCCTGTCTAAACGAGGCTCATGACTTTTTATTAGAGCTCTTGGTTTCAAGTATCAAGTTCTCTTAATATTGATAATAAAAATAGTAATCAAATAATACGTATGAAAAGAGCATCATCATAAAAAAATGGCCTTTGAGGAACTATGGTGGTCCACGACCACCATACAAATTCTTGGACCTCAGTCTTCTCGTCATCTACACCAATTGAACTCAGATTCGTCCAAGTGACAATTTCCTCGCCGTCCTCGTCACCCCTTATTATCACCCGTAATTATTTCACGCGAGCGGAAATCGAATTTGACCCGTCCAAACCGTCATGACCCATGCGCAGAAATATTCGGTCGACTGCACCATTCCCGTTTTCAGTCCATGCACGTGCAGGCGAGCGCTCTTATTCCCCTTCACCCCCTCTCTCTTCTGCCCTCACGGAAGAGAAATTCATAGACAGAGATAGCGAGCGACAAGACAGAAAAAAGGAAAGGGGAACAAAAAGAAACGAATACGAATCAAAGAGAGAGGGAGAGAGAGAGAGAGAGAGAGAGGGGGGGAGTCGTTGGAGGGGGAACGACGCGGAAAGGGCGACATGAAGACACCGCGAGGAATGCGCACCTGGGAACTCTCTCTTCCACCTCTTTGCGGCGACGCCCGCGAAGGTGCCGCAGGACGAGGGGTCTGAGCGGCGGAGGATGAAGGACCTTTCAGACGCGGTCTGTCCCCTCTTCGACAAAATGGTAGGCGGGAACGTACAGCGCACACCGCGCGACCTGTTCGAGTCCGCAGGCGTCGGAAACGGGTGGCCGACTTGCGCCGTGTGTTGGAAGCGCGTCGTCATCCCTTCCCGAGTCCTCGTTGCTCGCCGAGCGAGAAACACGCCCTTCCGCGGTGCCGGGACGCCTCTTCGGGATCGACGACGTTGCGGATTGAGCCAGACGCTCGCGAGCGCCTGTCACGTGTGGGTTGCTACGTGGGTTGGGGTGCTCGTCTTTGTGTTGGACATCGCGATATCTGGCCATTGCTTACGTTACCGACGCGTCACGACTGCGATCATGATTCGGCATTCGGCTCAAGCTGCGCACAACCTTTTGCCTCTTAGAACCTGTGTTCTTTAACCTCATCGCGCCCGGGAGATGACTCAATATGGGGCTCTCTCTGTTTACTTGGGATCCGCTATCAAAGTTTGACCCAATATAGTTCTTTTCGGTACAACACATTAAGGGCTCTGAAGCACCTTAGTTACGGAATAACATCACCGTTATTGCACCATAAAGAAGCGTCTCAAAGTCTATAACGCGCCTAATGGAATGCACTCTGCGCGATCCCATAGTCCAAATTGGATTATTGGGAGAACACGTCACGCAGATTTTATCACACGATAGCTCGCTACCAAATTTCAATGGCTAAAGCATGACCTAATTCAGAATCTGAAGTTAAATCAGGCTGCCCTCTGATCGAGCCGTAACGATGTAAATTATCCTGCCAGTTGAAAAAATCCCATTACCCCGACCGCACACGCGTCACCTTGGCCATCCGACTTCAATATGATCATCAATCACCGATGATCGGGCTGTTAGATACGCGTCCAACTTCTTTCGTCGCGATCTCGTCTTGGTATCGATTGGACCCCTATATGATGCCTCATCCGCTACTATTCTGTCAGCTCGCGGTGATCCTCGCACATGTCCCATCGGTCCATATCTTCAGCGACATTACCTTCCCGCGCGCTCACTATCGCTACGAGATATCGCAGTTGGACGGTAATGCCGAGCGTTTCCCATTTCTATGCAGCTGGGTGTAGGAATAGGAGTTCAATGACTCAGAAGGGGAAGAGCTCGCTGGTGGGAAGGGGTAAGTGGGAGACGTCTTTCGCGGCGCTCCGCGGGATTGACTGCGGGGAAACGAGCTCCTCGTTGCGTGAACTCGCGCGTAAGTAGGAAAATGCGTCGCCCGCTGGAAAACACGATGGAAAGCACACGGTGGAGAGGCGGAGCTTTCACCGCCTCCACCTACGTGCCCACCTTTCGCGGGAGGTCTGTCGTCCAGCCGGGTTTCCCGGACCTTTTCCGCAACCGCCCTGCCTCTCTCTCTCTCTCTCTCTCTCTCCCTCCCACCCTCCCTCCCACTCTCTCTCTCTCTCTCTCTCTCTCTCTCTCTCTCTCCTTTTTCCACCCCCACTATCATCCACCTCCGGGAGCGGCCCCGACGATCTCCTTCATCGACTGTCCCTTACCAACGACGATGGTGAACCCGCACATCAGCCGGAGACTGATTTCGCAGTCTACTTGCTTCGAAAGGCACTTATTAATATGCAAAGACAGGTGACGGAAACATTCGATTAAACAGGACACATAATACTGCCCGATTTGAGCGGAGAGCGAGTGAAACGCTCGAAGGAGCGGGTTGATCGTCGAGGACAATCGACGGCGAGATAACCGGAGAATGAGATTAGGACACGTAACCAAGCTGTTGCTCGCCGTGGCGCGGCGATTACAGCACGATAAATCCAACGGGGATTATCAACGCGCAACGAACGACGCCGTAAAGAATGCTCGCGTATGGTTTTCGCTCAGTTTGTGAAACGCGCACGCCCGTATATCGCGAGTGCACGTTAATAGCTTCCAGCAACTGCGAACGCTACTTGAAGCGCGGTGTACGTAAGTCCCGCTGATTGAGTGCGCGCAGTCCTCGCGATATAAAGCTAGCTGGGAGCGTTTTATATGTCCTTTCACTTCCTCCGATACCTCCCCCCTCGCCTTCGCTCCTACTCAGCGTCCCCGGCGGATTAACTCGAGTTACCTGTTCTGTCCCGACCAAATGAGGGGATCGAGCATTCGCTAGCTGCCGTCTACGACGATTGGTTCTCGAGTCCCAAACTCGAGAATCCAATGGACGCTGGGAACGGCATGGCCCCTCGCCCACTTTCCCCTTCGATTGCGCGCCGCGTCATTTATTTAACTGGCAACGAGCCGAGGGACGAAGTGAGAGCGAGCGGACTCCATAGAGCCGCGCGAGAGGACTCTTCCGCCGGCGTCGGGCAGCCGCTACCATCTTGCCGGGGCGAGCTGGTCGCTCTTTCAGCCCCTCGAGAGTGCATCCCGCCTGCGCCCTTTCCCGCAGGACCTCGCACTCTTTCCCACCCTCTCCGCGACCCCTTGCGGATCCATACGCTCGCGACTGCGGAGCGCGACGTCCACGGAGAGAGAGCTCCACCTTCGCCGCCACTTTCGCCGCCGTCGCTGCCGCCTCCTCCATTTCCGTCTTCGCCACCTCCACTTCCGCCGGCTCTACCCACCTCCCCCCGCCTGGGCTCGCCGGGCTCGCTCCCGTATCTTGACGCGCCATTTTGCCTGACCCTTTTTCCTCGCGACGCCACCTTCGCGGTGACCTCTCGCCACCCCCCGGCGCCGTGACCTCTCGACGTCCTCGGCCAGCCGGGCTTTAATCAGAGGCTTCCTCGCAGCGGCGCGGAGATAAGGAGCGGAAATTAAACGCTTGATATTTACAGGACTCGCCCGCCCTCCGGCTCTCTCGCCGCTCCGCTCCGGCGCGCTGCAGTGTATTTGTAAGAGTTGGTCCCTCGAGCTCGCTCTCGTTGGAACGCGGCTCGGCTTCGTTTCCGGCTGGAGCCTCGGCTTGGAAAAATTAGCTCGTCCCGGTGTCCGTCTTGATAATCTCCGACTCGTCGTAGTTCGCGATTCTAAAGGACGCTCCAGGCTGTCGCTCGCCGAATTGTCTGCTCAAATTGCATTTTCAGCATTTTCGAACTCGCTCTTAATTCAATCGTGCATTCGCCGCACGAAAAAAGCTAGTGTCCTCTTGTGCATCGAGGTCTCAATCGAGATTTATCAATATCCGCAATTTTATTACTTATCACGGATGGTACATCTGACATCTCCCGTCTCTGATTTAAGATATTCATATTCATATTTCTTCTGAGAATATCCGCGTGGATTAAAAGATAAAGAAACACGAGAATAATCGGAGGGATATTTAATGCGTGATGTGCTCGTTTTCATTTCATGTTGGGAGAAAAGAATGTTTTCGCCTCTCGTGATATTTTTTGTAATCTCCTTCAGAGCTCTTCATGGTCTAGACGGGGAGAACGTTAAACTGCATAGCCCGTTTGACCAAACAACAGTCGAAGAGCGATGCGCTAAAATATTCTCGCACGTACCTGCCGAGAAGCCTCTCTACCAGCGGCGCAGGAGTACACGGAGAGATGGCCGTTTGCTTGTCCGGGGAGAAAATAAGTGGAGGCGACGCAGCACACACAGTTGTACATTCCATGATCGTTTTTATTTCGATTACAGAACAGCGATCGGAGAACTTACTTCTCTTCTTGATCCGTTTAGTGTATTTACAGTAGCTCGCAAGGTGCATCGCGCGCGCGCGAGAGAGAGAGAGAGAGAGAGAGAGAGAGAGAGAGAGAGAGAGAGACTGATTTTGCGATGATCTAAAAGTTTCTCGGTAATTATACGGCCGACGCGCCGAAAGCCGATCGTTGAGGAACGCAACGCTCGACGGGAAAAGTTCGTTACGCAATCGTGAAAGTGCGACGTAAATTATTCGAGACGTAAAACAAGAGCCACGATCGTGGGCGATCGGCTTTCTCTCTCGCGTCGTCCTTACGCATAATCTTAAGATCCTGTAATCTCGTCTGTGAAACGAGGATACTGTAGAAGAGCGTGCGGCGCGGTCGACCGACAACAACGACGACGACGACGACGACGAAGATACACGTCGGTGGGAAATCGAAATCGCCTACGTTTCGCAGTATTGACACGTCTTTAACAAGCGATACCTTCATTAAGTAGCCGAACGTCGACAGTGAATACAGACAGACGTACACGTGTAAGATTTACGGTACAACGTATGAACAATCATTTGATGCGCGAACGGAATTTCATAAACGACCTAACGAGTACAGCCGCGAAGTCCGTTAGAGACCGTCGTCGCGAAAATCATCGTTAAGGCACACACAGAGAGACGAATTAATTCATCACCCAACAATCAATCGTCGAAATGTAAGATTCACCGGGAAATTCCGAGACGGAAATCAGAGACCGAAGAAACTCACCGAGTTCCGGTAAGCCGCGAGTAATCCGCGAGTAAGAGTCGAATCTCGACGACAACTCAATCTCGCAAACGAGCGCGATCGCTGCGGTATCGATACGTAAGAGAAATTACTGTGGGGCAAAATCGTGCGGAATCGCTCGATCAGGCTTCGACAATAAACGCGAAACGAGGGCGCTTCACGCGCACTTTCCGAAAAGAGGACGACCGAAAAGAGGGTGGCGGAATAATACTAAATATGGCGGAGGTGGTCGTCGTCGATGCGCAAGACTGCGACAAAGTGATGCTGGGCTGGCGACGTGGTGCTTATTACGTGGCGATCTTTACGTGTGTGTGTGTGTGTGTGTGTGTGTGTGTGTGTGTGTGTGTGTGTGTGTATGTGTGCGTGGACTAAGGGAGTTAATTTACTAATATCTAAGATGCATTAAACGTATACGTTAATCTTAAGGGAGTTAATTTACGTGAACGCAGACAAATATACAAGTATTTACACGGGCGACCGCGGGAGGGCTGCGGGGGCTTGGGCGGTGGCGATGAGGGGGTGGCTTGCCGACGACCGCTCGCTGCCACGGCCGATCGTCCCACGATTCTTCTCCGACGTCGAGTCGGCTCACATGTAGATACGTCGCAGATCGGACGGTGACGTTATCATGTTGCATTGCGGACAGAGCTTCTTCGCACCCTGCAACACCGACAAGAGACGTCGTTTCTTGGCAGCTTTTGCGGCCGGTGACGTCGTCGGACGTCCAGACTGGATGCGGGACGACAATCGAGAAAACAGCGAGGGATAAGGGATGATTTCGATCGGGGACGAAGGCGAAATTCGATAATATGTGCGCTTGTAATTTGCGAAACAGACTCGCCGATCGGCGATCGGCGAATTAGCGACGTGCGGTTAGAAGAGCAATCTTTGAACTGGAATTCTCAATCACGAATGACCGACGAATAGCAACGTTCCGGTGTGTCAATTGCTAATAAGACTGCCTGATTCCTTTTGCTCTTCATCATGTGCGATGTTGAAATTAGATTTTCAATCGTAAGTTTGGAAAATCTGAGCGCCGTTATCGTAAGCTTGTAAGCGTGAGAAGGTGAAAAAATAGACTCACCAGAGTGTGCAACCAGCATTGCTCGCAGTGTACGTGCCAGCAGCAGACCGAAGTGACTGGCTTCTTGTACTGTTCCTGAAAAGAAGAAACCAGCACGTCCGGTGAAACAGTCGATGGGCGCGTGTTCGGGCACATCCCGTCCAGTGTCGGGCAAAATGTACCAAGTCGATCGGAAGTTCCGGTTCTCGCGGACAACGCGAAGACGCAACAAGTGCGGAGGTCGATAACGCTCACAACGACAAGATGGGTGTCGATATGAACCTGGCGCTTGACTCGAACAAAAAAGCGAACATTGCCGCTGTCTATCCGCACCTCTTTCCGAATCGTTTGCACCTCGAAAGCCGCGGATGAACTTCATTTTCAAAATCCGCCTCTGCGATTCTTACAGCAAAGTGACGGCGGCACTCGACCTTTGTATTTCGTTTCTCGAAATGCGTATTTCGAAATAAATTTCAGGAAACGACAAAGTTGCACTCCTTTGGCGAATTTCGCACATAATTGCTGGTTTCGGGCCCTTTGAGCTACGAACAATCAGAGGAGAGAGGTGCAGGTGATGCTTTTTCGCACCGGACTTGGAACATCTCCCACTCGTTTGTTTGTTATCTCCCAGGTCGCAGGTACCTTATTTTGACAAACAATACGAAAGCCGGTACAAAGGAGTAGCAACAAGTACAAGCAATGCTCGAAGTCTCTGCTTTGCTTTTGAGTTGGTCGCCAGGTTTAGGCTTAGGTTAGATTCAACAGTCTCGCGGTCGTGTAACTTCTTCGTCAGAGGAAACGCGAGAAAACGCGAGCAGCTTCTTCTCGTGAACTCTCGACGACCTCGGCAATCGTGTGACTTGTCGAACAACAGAAACACGAGGCGTTTCACGTCTATCCGCTCCGTTAGGTTAGAAGGAAAAGTTACACGATCCTCGTCCAAGAGTCCGGTCGAGACGTCTGAACGGCCGCTCTCCCGGCGGGTTTCATAAGACGAATTCAAGCCGCCATTACGTCAGCGACATTCCTCCCAGGATCGACGCTTACGTCCACTGCCTGTATCCTGGCCGGTAACGAACGCGGTTCAATACACTCGAGGAGTTTTACTGCCGCGGTCGCGAGCGCGCGCTGCTTCTCACGATGAAGTCCGCGAAGTCGGATGGACGCGATATCGCGGCGGTTGTCAGACGAGCGCGAAACGCACCTTCGCACCTTTACTTCACGCACGGTCGACGTGTTACAACGACGATAATTTATTCGGCGACCCGAATGTCTCGGGCAACGGATCTCGCGCGACCGGATTTTGCGTCGTCGGGTTTCACGTCGCGTTGCGATTATTCGCAAGTCATGCGAGCGCATTCGTTGTCTCTTAAGCGTGTTTCTTTTTTTTTCTCGGCTACGGATAAAACACGCCGAGGGACAATATAATGTAACGTCACAAGCGTCACGTAATGATGCGCGACAAACGCGCGGGCGTTTTACCGCCCGTTATTTTTTCCCCGCTTTCTGGAAATCGCCGAGTTGACTATAACGATGATCTGATTACGGTGACTCGATTACGGACACGCGGCGCATTAGCGTTCGAAAGTTAATCGATCCGGTTCGGTCACGCTCGGCCAATAAAGCGCGTTTTTTTCCCGAGTCCTTTCGAAATCTAATTTTCATTATTGCGGTCGTTTTATTTATTTTACGCTGGGTATTATAAAATTTGCCTCATTCGCCCGTATAAACACAATGCATTATCCCATAAAATTCCGGCTAACGAAGCAACGCTTTTTAATTCCACCGCGTTCCACGCATCGCTTAAAAAATAAAGCCGGAAATGCGTGTATAACTCGCGACGACAAGGACCGGCGACATTGTTTTAATCTGACGGGCCTTGGCGGTTGAAAATCGCCCCGCGACGCTTTCCATCTGTCTCGAATTGTGTGCACGCATCATCCCCTTGGCCTCTCGTTGTCGAGCGCGTTTCTAACATGCTTCCGCTTTTACGCCATCTATTTATAAAAATCCGCGCAAGAACACGCTGCTCTCCAGCGCCTCCTTCCCCATCCCCGAGGATCACAGACGCGTGTCGCCACTTTGCTAGTTTCTAACAAGAATGATGTCTAGACAGAGATCGAATACGAACCTTGGTGGACGCAGATCCACGCGGATCAATTCGTGTATACGAGTTTGATGAGCAAAGCCAGCCTATACAATTCTCATTCGGCCGCGGATAAACAAGCAGGTGCAGTCGTCAGTTAATCGCGTGTCTCACATCGCGCGGCATTAGCTCGCGCGACGTCGAGACTCACGAGGTGTGAACATCCCCGCTGCGAGACTGACTCACCATGCAAATGAGACACTTGAAGGGCTGGCCGCGCATCTCGGCCTCGAGCTCGCGAATGCGACCCCGCAGAGCCTCCACGACCGGCGTATCGCCGTCTCTCCTGGGCGAGCCGGAGGCACCCTCGTCGGGGTCGTTCTGCTGGCCGACGGGGGTCGCGGCGCCCGGCTCCGGCTTCACCTCGACCAGGCCCTGCGCGCTCAGCTGCTCCGGCGTCAGCTGCTGAGGGGTGTGCGGCGCGTTCGGCGAGATGACGGCCTCGCGAAGGGCGTCCCGTTCCTTCTGCTCCCGCAGCGTGCCGTCGATCCGCGGCGCCACCACGTCCGCCTCGGAATACTGCGCCGGGCCGAACTCGGCGGCGTCGTCGCCGTCGACCACCAGGTCCACGTCTTCGTCTTCTTGGTTGCCGGGACCACCCCCGGGACCGGAGCGATTGCTCGAGGAGGTGGCGAGGCCCGCGGCTGCGAAGCAGAAGAGACCGGCCGTTTTTCAACGCGACTGATAATGGCCGACCTGAGCGTTCGAATTTTTCTCTCCAACGTGCGGCAGCATCATGTTTCCCCGCTTTTACTCCGATTTACGTCGATTTACGCCGATAAATGAGGGTGAAAGGTTAATATCGGCAGTATTTGTTAACAGTCGTTAAATTTTGGCTCTCAAGGGTCGGCTCGATGGGGTGAACGATATTTCAAGGACCGAAAAATTTGTCCGCGCGTGTCGTTTTTCCGTGAAATATCGTTACGCCGCCGCGAATTCAATTGTCGCGCCAAATGTCCCGTGATGGCTCTTATCGGCTTAATTTTGCACGCTTTTATTTTTTTCATTTGATTAATATATACCAGCGCGTTTAAAAATAATTTATGATGGGGTGGGGATGGGCGGAGAGGGAAGGGGAGGATTTAATCACCGCAGGGACAGTTTGAATACGCGATACGCGTCGATACGCGATTTACGATTAAACTGCGACGAGTGCGGTTTCTGCATCGTGAGTTCGCATCTGTTCGAGAGTTCGAGTGATACGCAAAAATCACAACGTTCCTTGACGTTTCCCGCGGAAATATTTAAAACGAGGAAGAGCCAAACGAAATCCGAGATTTACGAGCGGCACAGATTCAATTGGTCTGGATATCTTCGCGCGAAAAACGCAAACCAAACGGACTCACATAATTACGAATCTAAATCACACAAAATTCGCAATTACCCGGGCCGGCGTGCGCGTTCATTTTATGCTCCCGCGACGCAAACATATATATTTAACGCGTATTGATCTAACATTTTTACATAAATAAAATTACACCGGCGCGCAATATCGCACGAATTCATCACAAATATTTGCCTGGTGCCGCGTGCATCATTATAAATTCGCCCGTGTAATTTATTCCGGCGGAATGCAGCGCCACTCACCGGAGAAGCCACCGACGAGCATAGACGTGGCGCGTACTCTCCTCTGGCCGGCCCACTCGTACTCGTCGAAGGTCTCGGCGTCGCCCTCGACGTCGACCTCTTCTTCGTCAAGAGTCGCGTTCTGCCCGGCCGGGTTCCCGTTGTTCTGCTTGTTCAGACAACGGTCGACGTGCTGATTCAGTTCCTCCGGAGTACCCGACAGCCTCTCGCTGCACACCGGACAGGACGTCTCGTCCGCTTTTCTCTTCCGGTTCTTCACGCGTATTCTGGCCTGCACAGAGGAGAAACGCGGCACGACGCGCGCGTCGTTACTGACTTGTCGCAGAAGACACAGTGACGGTAGGGATGGGCTTGGTCAAAAAAAAAAGCATCGTCTTCGATTTAATCGATTTTATCAAAAATATCGTTTTCGCATAATTGATATTTTCTTAAAAATATCGATAATAATCGACGTTTTCCTAGTTTATTTTAAATCAATGTGAAGAGTTATATGTTGCAACAATAAATTAATATATTATCAAAACTTTAAAGACTCTTTTACAATGGCCGCAAGCATAAGCTATATAATATATAAGAATAAGGCTATAATCAAAGTAACAAGGCTACAAGAAATAAACCAATTAAAGTCGGTTGTTCTTACAATAGTCGACTGTTGGTTTATTTTTTTTACTGTTTACTTTAAATAATAAAGCTGTTACAGCTTTATTATTTTTACAGCTATTGTAGACGGGCCCTAATAGTAGTAAACAAATTCTCTAGTGATAAAAATTTAGTAACAAATCTAGTGGATATAATCGAAGAAAAAAAAATCGATCTAGGGAATAATCGGCCCCAAAACGGTCTGATCTAATCGATTTTTCAAGAAAATAAGAATCGATGCTTGTTTCATCGACCGATATTTGCCCATCGCTACAGTGACGTATCGTGATACATAAAATATTATCATATTATGATACGTAAAATATTATAATATGTAAAAACATGATATGTGATACAATGTAACACGATAATAACATGCTGTAACACAACGCAGCATGCATGATAACGCTGTAGAACGTAATATGGAAGTAAAATAATTACTACGTTTCTCGTATTTCATCGGCGCGGTCGCGACTTGGACTCTAGAAAACTATCTTCAGCAGTTGCGACGAGGAAATGACTTTTGCCTCGTTTCCGGAATAGAGAGGGAGAACTCTTCAACTTCGAAGCGTTCAATCCGGCGAAAGTCACAATCTTTAGACTATCGCGCAACCAACGACGCTCGACCAGCGAGCAACGAGAAAAACTAGCGTTTTTACAAGGACGGATCACGTGAATGATGAACGATCAAGACGCAAGTGAAGGAATACGTTACTTGTCTATTGGCCTTGATCCTTTTGTACGTCTCCCATCTGCCCTGAGGGGTACCGTCCGCCGCCGATGGGGCGTGTAGCATCGATCCATGGGGATGATCTTGCGGGTGCGTCGGCGGCAAGGTCGACCTCGAAGGTCGAGGCCTCGAGGTCGCGGAAGAGACCTTATAGAGCCGATCGAGCTCTTGGGCGAAATGTTGCTCCAATTCTTGCGGTCTCACTGTCACGCCGCATACCGGGCAGCAAGACGGGTCCGAGGGAAACTTTTTCTTGCCTGAAACACAAAAGATGCGCGCACAAATTACGATCGAATTCGGCTCGCAAAGATGGCGGTCGACGAAGTCGCCGGAGAAATCGGCGAGACTCCCGACTCTTCGTTACATTAAAAACAGGTGCGACTGCAACGACAAGCGAAAATAATGGGATAATTGGCCACAACAATGGGCGCGGCAATTCTTTCTTATTTATCAGTCCGATAAAATCAATAAAATTGCATCGGATTGCACGGAGACCTGAGATGCTCCAGATGAATCGCGATATTTGTTGCAAACTTTCTCGAGGCAACGATGAGATTGCAACATTTCGTATGCACGTATCAACGAGGAGAACGAGAACCGTGAAACATCGCTTGACCCGCGAAAGAAGAGGAAAGACCCCGGGAAAAGAGAGTCTTCTCTCATTCGGCAATCAAACGCGCTTAAAAGATGTCTTTTGACGTTCCCGGCAGCGAGGATTCAGCCGGCGCGCGCGCCCGTGGAGTGGAATCACCGCGGGCCACTGCTGCCAGGCATCGACTAACGCGATTTAAAAAGTATTCAACTCGGCTCGTAATTACTTTCCACGACGAGTCGCGTCCGCGTTGTCGACGTCGTTGTCGTCGTCGAGACGCGAGCATCGCATTAAGCCCAGAAACGAGCCGCGAAACGAAAACCGCCGTCGTAGGTCAACGCGGGCCCCGGCTCGTTTACCCGCAATTTATTGCCCCGTAAAACGTCGAGTAAAAGAAAGAAAAGAGGGAAAAAAAGGTCACGGCAGGGCGGCGGGTGGGGGGAGGGGGGAAGGAGAAAAGCGCGGCGCAAACGGCCGCGTGCCCGTGGTAATCCAGCGGGATACTTTTGTCGTGCCTCTCTTGTGCGGCCCGACGCACTCTCCGACGGGAATGCATAATTAATCGCGAAAACTTGTCGCCGCGCTGCCGCCGGAAAGATCGCCGCGTGCGTGCGCCGGGCTCTCGACGGTAAATGCATAAACTTATAGGAAAAGTTCGCGCGCCGGATTCCACGTCGCTTGATTTTAATTGCGCGTTAATCGGCCGTATCTCAAGGCCGGGCTTTATAACGCGCGCGCGCGCGACGGCGGCTGGGAAAGCTCGCGACAAGGCGATTAATATTTATTAATTCGACGAGAGCGCGGGGCAGAAGCGAGCGCGATTCTTCACCCGGATGCGCCGGTTGTATCGCTCTTTTTATTTCGAAGTCTCGCGGTTTATCTCAGCACGCGCGCGAGCGCGAGCAAGGACTCTCGCGCGGCGGCGCGTGTTTAAATCGTCGGATCTAAATTGAAATCTAAACGACACGGCGCTCCTACGAATAACATTGCAAGCGCGGCTCTAATTTATCGACTGGGAATAACGCGCGGGATTTATTTAGAAGCGATTTATAAACCGAACGCAGCGCGGGTATGCATCATCCATCGGAATTCGCACCGGGGAGAACGAGTTGAAGTCCTGTTTGCTGGAGGTCGCGCCTGGACTTTGGTCTAATCGGGGAATTTCACGCGAGTTGTATCCGTCGACATCCTTCACGCGACAAGTCGCGACGACAAGTGGCGGCGGTTGGCGAGGCAACGTCGCCCAACGGCTATTCCTTTCTTCTTCTTGCCTCTGCGCGCGTGTAATTTTTAAACGAACAATTACGTGCTTAAAAAAGGCGTCGCTGATGTTCGATCGAATCGATTTCATCATACATGGAAGATGTAAAAAGCTCTTGAGACATTGTAAAGACTTGACGTTTCTCGCTTTTAAAGACTCTGTACTCTTCAACGTGCAATGTTTAAGGGGGAATTATACATGCGGAGTGGGCCGTTTTCAAGGCTATCTTTACGAATTTTTTTTTAAAGAAACGGTAGGATCAATGGACTTAAAATTTTCACAGTGTATTCATGAATGTTCAAAGTGTAAAATAAATTTGTTACTATCTATATGGAAAGTATAACATAAAACTTTAAGCGCGTTTTTCTGAAAACATCGTTTTCTTAAGCTGTCGACACGATTACGTAAAAACTACCGAACTGAATAACTTGAAATTTTTACACAATATACAGTAGACATGTCGTTTTCGCGCCCTTACCTCGAACACATAGTTATATTTTATTTTATTCATTTTTTTAAACATGATGACAAGTCGAGAAAAGTTTCACTTTCGATTCTTTTTTTTATACAAGTCAAGTTTAAAATAATAACTGTATAAAAAAAAGTATCGAAAGTGAAACTTTTCTCGACTTGTCATTTTAGTATATAATATCTATAATGGTTTTAGTATATAATATCTATAATATCTATAATTGCATATTTAAAAAATTTTTCTCATTCTTTGATTTCAGAATAGTGAGAGGTCCGAAATTATATCGACAAGAAACAGAGCTCGCAAACGGATAATTTTACATTTTTATCTATAATTCTAAATTGGATCGGTTTTTGTGATCCAACAAAATTTATTTTATATCTTGAATATTAATGAATACACTGTAAAAATTTCAAGTCTATTGATCTTACCGTTTCTGTTACAAAAATTCATAAAAATAGCTTTGAAAACGGTCGTCTCCCGCATGTAATTCCTCTCTTAACCACACAATTGCAATTATCATTTACCCTCTAGCGCCGGGGTAATTAATGTCAGCCAAGCTCGCTTCACGTTCTATCTCAAAAGCGCCATCGCTGTAAACAGATCCTCACTCTCTTGCCAGAGTCCCGTACGCGCGGTGTACGCACACGTACGTAGGTGCGCTTTGCATAATTAGATGCTTCGAGTTTCCTCAATCGGTCTTAATCGGCCGTAAGCTGCCGGCGCTTGGCAATAAAATAACGCAAAGTCGACGACGCGTGAACGCGAACTGCGCGCGCGCGCACGCGCGGTTCGGGATTCCTGAATGATAATCGCGCGATATCCGCCTCGCCGAGCGAAGCTCGCGACAACATCTCGGTAAACGGAAGTCGGCGAAATTAACGTCGCGACGACGCGATGGAAAAAGACGACTTGAAGGAAAGGTGGAATGACAGGAGATTCATCAGCCACGTCGCGCTTTCCACAGCGGCGTATAATTCCGGATGATGTCCTCGTGCGACCGAGTCCACCTCGCTCTCAATTGTTAAATGGTCGTAAATATTACACGAGGGTGCTCCGGGCAGCTTTCCGGGGCCATGTGTCCTCCACAGATCGTGTGTCCTCTGTCGAGTTTGCGAAAGATCACATCTCGTTGAAGGATTTAACCTCGTCTTCAACATTTCAGACACGTGCCTTTTATTTTCAGTACGATTATTTAAGGATTGCGCGGACTGAACATTCTGCACGTATGCCGATATAGAGTTACATTTAATTTATGCATGAAACGAATCCTGTAGACACTCGTCGAAATGTAACTAATCAATGATACCGGTAAAACCGTACGCTGTCAGATTAATGTTCGAACTTGTGAATAAGCAAACGGTCATGTTCCCTTTTTCGCCGGTGTAAAGATTTATACGCTCCGCGGTGGCATCCGCGAAATCACGTTTCTCGACGAGAAAAGTGTTTAGACGAGCGGAGCGCGTACATCCGGACTCGAATAGCCGGTGAATCGTGTCGCTGTTGCAAAATTAGTTTCATCACTCGTACCACGCGTGATAACGTCGGTCGGTGCGATTCGGTGTATAATAAATCGCCCTTCGTCTGCCGAAAGCGGCCACGAATAGATCTCGATATCGATCGACGAGCGATATCGCGGAAATTTTGTTAGGCGGGCATGTCTACTTAGACGACGATATAATGTCGGAGCGCGGCGATAAATCGGATCAATACATTTAAAAATGCGTCTTTCTTCCGGTGACGAGCGCGCGGCCGGGAAGCTCTCGAAAGCTTAAATCAACGCGTCGCCGCGCCATCGGCGCTTTTTTGCTTATTAATGAGATTATTCGATCGCGTCGCGTCGCGTCGGCCGTCCGATTAGACGGCTCGCGCTTTAAGCGATAACTCGCCGACTGTGAAAGCCACCAAGTTGACGAGCGATTTAATCAGAGTCGCTTGTACCGTCGCTAATTGGCGAATTAGCTGCAAGTAAAACATTTGCCGCGGGTTGGAGAGACACGCGAAGAGAATCCTACAACGAGGTTTCATCTCAGAGTACGAAAATTTATCAGCTTGTGGGATTATTAGGAATATTATGTTAAGATATTTTCATCACATTATTTTCTATGATTCGGATCGATTTTAGTCGATTAATTAGTAGTTAGATAGAATAAATTGTCTATTTTTCTCCTTAATGTAACAGAATTATAGAATTTTCTCTAATTCTGCGATTGAGAGAAAAAAATCTTATGTTTTATTCTTAGCGAGAATATGAGGAGACGGATAGAATTGAAACAAGAGAATAATTATAAATGTGCTTCTCTTTAATGTTACATAGTTTCCTAAACTTTTCTCACCATTGCGGAGCGATCCTCGCATCCGCAATCCCATATTATCTTAGTACACGTAACTTGGTAACTTAAACTTTTTTTATCACGTCTCGCTGTCTTCGCAATCCGTAAGCGAATGCCGCAGAGATCTTACGAAAAATACGCAATATAACTCGGCGAGTAAAAATTCATGAATCGGAAAAAATATTACTTCCCGACACGAGTTCCATAGAGCGTACGAAAATAAACGCTCCGCGGAGTGGTTGCACCTGCTGCTATTTTCCGACGATAACGTTTGGTGATGTCTTCTCGAAAAATAAAGAGAACTCGCGCTGGGCCGAATTTCCGTAAGCGAGTCAAAATTCCGAATCGCGCGATGAATCTACAAAACCTCGATGCGACAAACGAAGACCTCTGAGATATCAAGAAAGTGTGTTTAAAGCATTAAAGAGGATGAAGAGGACGAAATCACACATGAAGCTAAAGTGTGTTCCTCGCAAAGTATGATAACGCACTTTTACAGTAGGACGCTTTATCGCTCGCAACATATTGTTCGAATTTTTAATTTTGTTCCCTTTTTCTCGTTTAAACTCGACCTGAGCGATCGGCTCGTTTGTTTTGAC